TATATAACTTTCCAACTTTATCTTTGATCACATTCATGTGACAATGTTCAGGGTGGACCTGCCAAGAAAGTTGACAGGCTTCACAAGGGGACATGATATAGCCTGGATGCCACGATGAGAAAATGAGGGTTGTAGCTATTTTAATAAAGAAAGCCAGATTCAAGAAATGCTTCTAAGGCAGATGGAATAAATAGATATTAGACAGAATGTGAGTAGTGAGGAAGAAAAATTAAGGCTAACACACAGATTTTTAGCTTGGGAAAATGCTAAACAGTAACAACAAAAAATCAGAGAGCCAGCTGGGCATGGTGGTACACATCTGCAATCCCAGCGCTTTGGGAGGTTGAAGCAGGAGGATGGCAAGTTTTAGCTCAGCCTCAGCAATTTGGCAAGTTAGCAACTTAGTGAGGTCCTATCTCAAAATGAAAAGATCAGGAATGTGGTTCAGTGTAAAGACCCTGAGTTTAATCCCTAGTACCACAAAAAAAAAAAAAAAGGAACCAAGGAGACCAGGTTCAGATAGTATTTAGGCATTCAATTATTTGCTTTCACAAAAAATAAGAAATTACCTTTTGCCTGAAACTAATTGTATGCAGAAATTCCCTGTTTAATGACTGGGCTACGGTCCTACTAGGTCATTAAATAAATGAGTCACCAAATGAGGAACTCCATATAGTATGTACACTACAATATTCAGAACAAAGAAATGGTCAAAGGAAACTCCAACTTGATGACTTTGCTTTTATTTACATAACTCTTACACGTAGTACTGTAATGTATAACAGAATAGCTGAGCATGGGTAGCACATGCCTATAATCTCAGACTTTGGGAGGCTGAGGCAGGAGGATCTCCAAGAGTTTGAGGCCAGCCTGGAATACACACTGAGTTCAAGACCACCCGGCACTGCACAGTGAGATTCTGTCTCAAAAAAAAAAACAAAAAAAAAAAACAAAAAAAAACAAACCTAAACGTACAGCAGAGCATAAAACTATAATACTATAGTATACTGCACAGTCAGCAAAAATTACAGTGCTGAATAAACAAGGTGTGCCATACCAGAATATACCCTGAGGCTCAAGAAACAAGATACATAGAACTTTATATATATATATATAAAAAAATCAAGCTAACATTTTAATCATGGAATCCTTCAAAGTCCTCACCAGCACCATCATTAGAATTATGATCAGGAGATGTAGAAGGCTTCCAAGTAAGAGAGATGACAAAGTAGAAATGGAAGAATGGGTACTAGGGGTCCTGGGTACAGCTTTCAAGAATCCCATTAGTGTGTGGTCTACTTTGTCATTTCTTTTTTGCTTCAGAAACTTCACGACAGCATTATAAAGCATATTCATTTGCTGTTCTACTTTCACAAGCCATTCAACATTTGGATCCGCGGCCTCCAGTTCTAACACAGCTGCACTTACATTTGAGAACAGACCCACTAAGCCCTTTGCTCTCAGCTTCTTTGGTACAGTACTTCTTCAATTCTTTCCTCCTCCTCCTCCTCTTCTAAGTGTTGCTGTTTCCGACTCTATTAAATCTTCCGTGCTTAGCTCTCCCTCAGTATATTCCACTAATTCTTCAATATCTTGCACTTCACTCTCCAAATTAAGCATGTTAGCAAGTTCCATAGTTGTTTCCTTTATGAGACTGACATGTTCATCTTTGTCAAATGCGTCTGAATTATGCATGAAATGTGTCAGGCACTTTTCCTATATGCCTTGAATACATTCTTCCATCACTCCTTCCCAAGCTGATTCAATGTTTTTAATAGTCTAAAATGTTGTACAATTTCCAAAAATCACTAAGGGTTACTTCATTGTTTTCTGTTGCTGCTGCAGCTTTACAAAAAGTTGTGTGCAAGCGGGGGCTACAGTCCCCTGTTCCATGGGCTGTAAGACAGCAGTTGTATTTTTAGGCAGGTACCTTACCCTTACAACTGCATGTAGATCATCAAGATGCTGGGACTAGCCTGGTGCACTACCATTCAGGAGGACAATTTTAAAGGAAACGCCCTTTTCCAGACCATAATACTTCACTAAGGATATAAAGCAGTTGATGAACCAGTCTTTAAATAGAACTTGCACCACTCATGCCTTGTTATTGGCTCATAGTAAACAGGCAGCACATGCTTACTAACCTGCTTCCAATGCACATGGGTTCTCCGAGCGATAGAGGAGGAAAGGCCTCAACTTGAACCCAGTAACATTTCCTCCCAACAACAATGTGACTCTGCCCTTGAAAGCCTTGAAGGTGGGTAATGTTTTCACTTCACTGTATTACCTAGGACCTTTCAGGCATTTTCTTCCCAAAAAAGTCTGGTTTCACTCACATTGAAGATTTGTTCTGGGCAGTAGCTGCCTTTCTGATTTTATTAAATTGGTCATGAAATTTTTCTGCTGCTTTTATGTCTGAACTTGCCACCTCACCATCTCTGATTATATGCTGGTTGAATCTCCCACAAAACTGCTAAAAATAGGCTGGGGATGTAGCTCAGTGGCACAGCACCTGCCTGGCAAGCTTGAGGACCTGAATTCAATTCCTGGTACCAAAAACAAAACAAAACAAAACAAAACAAAACAAAACACTGGAACCATCCATGACTTGGATGTAAGACTTTCTGTCAAATCTTCACCTTTATGTGCCTTCAAAGTCTGTTTTTGGCTTTTTGAGACAGAGTCTCACTATGCAGTTCAGGCAGGTCTTGAACTTACTAGGTAGCTGAGGCTGGCCTTGAACTTGTAGCAATCCTCCTGCCTCAGTATCCCAAGTGGTGTGACTACAGATGTGCACCACCATGCCCAGCTACAAAGTCTTGAAGATAGTGAGTGCCTTGGCTTGATTTACTGAAAGACTCATGGGCATTCTCTTTCGTATCTAGTCATCAAACTAGATAGCCAATAATTTTTCCATGTCATGAATGAGGACTTTCTGCTACCTAGTTATTATGGTTTTAAAACCTGTTGATGTTTTCACGGCCTCTTCCATCCTTCAGGATTGTTGAAATGGTTGAATGTGGCAGATTCAAGTCCTGTGCTATTGCTTTAACTTTTTTAACAGCTCCACAGCCCTATATGATCTTCACTTTCATGTCAAGATCAATAGTCTTCTTTTGTTTCTCCTGATGAACTCATGCTTTTCCATTCTGATGACATATCATACTAAGGGGTACATAATAAAATACAATACAGAATAAGGTACCCAGATCTCATAACACTACTGCCCAAGAAAGTGAAGTATTGTACATTGTCACACTAAAGGTACTACCTGGGCTGGACATCAGGAAGAAAAAAGGACTAGCTGGAATGACTGGCACATCATGCACATACTGTACAGTACAGTTCCACATAGTAGTGTTACAAATATACAGTACTGTTCATACAGTACTGCAGGCAGCATACCCAGCAAGAAATGTGTGGACTTTTCACTCACAAAATTGTAGACAGAAGTAGAGGAAGCCACCATAAGGCTGCACTGCCATTTACATTCCTGCGTAAGCCCTAGAGGTGGGTCATAAGTCTCAACCATGTGCCTTGGTCATTAGTCCAAATAGTCATTAAACATATAGGCCTTTATTTTACATATTTATTTATCTATTTGTGATTCTGCAAAATTCTGCAATTATGGTGAACTGTATAATTATTATTTCATTATATATTACAATGTAATAATAATAGAAATAAGGCATACAATAAGTGTAATGTGCTTGAATAGGCAGGTCTTTAAATGAGGAGTATCTGTATCATTATCTCTCAATCTCTAGATTATAAATGTTCTGAGATCAAGCGCCCTGGATTTTGTTTCTTTTTTTTTCAGCCCTGGATATTTTAAAGACAGAAAACATCACTGCATTAGGGAAGAGGTGATCAGAACCAGGTGTTCAGTATATGATCAGTATACCATCATTTAATTCTTATTTTTAAGCTCTAAAGAAACTCATAAGGGAGAACCATGGGATTTAGGGTGAACTGGAGCATTTCCAGTAAGCTTAAACACAGGTGCACAATCTCTAAGTTTATTGTGTTTCCACTGTAAAATAAAAATTTCCCAGGCATGGTAGTGCACACCTGTAATCCCAGCACTCGGGAGGCTGAGGCAGGATGATCATTGCGAGTTTGAGGCCAGCCTGGGCTACAAAGTGAGCTCATTATCTCTGAACTGCATAGCAAGATCCAGTCTCAAACAAAATAAAATAAAATAAAATAAAGATTCAAGCTCTTTATATTTATTTGGAAAATCACATAAAGTGTGAAAAAGAGAAACTCACCAAAAACCATTCATCAAGGAAAACTACGACCACATCCCTTCAGACTTTTACATACAGTTTGGGTTTTTAAGACTTTTTCATTCATAATGTTATTAAAAGGAAACTAGGTTGAATAATTATTTGAGCAATTATGCTCTGCTATTGTGATTAATCTCTATTTTGGTTGAGTCTGTTGGGCTCAGCACAGGACGCCAATCCAAGTCAATGGCTTCTTATGATTCAACACTGTAGAACTTTGTATTATATCTTTTCTATTTATAATTACATATTTGCATTTTCCTATGTTACTTAAAAGTTTTACAAATTACTTTTAGAAGCCACTTCATAAACAGTGAATGACATAATGTACTAAACTTACTCCAAGATACATGATTGTAGCCAACTTTACCCACCTGTAAATGACGTTGTGATACAAGCTTTTATGAACCAAGCATTCCTTTATTTTGAATGACCTCCTTAGGATATACTCCCAGCAGTATCCTCCTAAGCCACGAGAAATATATTCCCTCTTCCAGCTCCTCACACGTGGGCCCGCCCCATTCCCCTCAGACACTACCACCCCCTCAAGCGCGGTCCACTTCCCTCACGCCCTACTCCAGCTTCCTCACACCTACTAGGGGTGCTAACACAAGGGACAAAATATCTTTGTTCTTCCTACTCCACAAAAAAACAGCCTCACAGGGGGTGACACCCCCTCTGTAGGGGTGACACCCTCCCCCTCCAAAGTACCTTGATCGGAGCTCCTGCGCAGCTACCGGAAGTGTCGGCCCACAGTCCTCTGATAGCTGGGAGGGGGCCGGACCCGCTCCGCAATCCTCCCTGTCTATTGGCTTTTTACTGTGTCATGTTAGAAGTCCTTCCCATTGGCCAATAAGCGCAGGCTTTGTCGCAAGGGTTACTGGGAGTGGTGGTTCTTGTGAAACCATCCTGTATAAATGGGCTATAATTTCTTTTTCCCTTAAGCGCTTTATCCCCCCCCTCCCATTTTTCAACAGTTCTTTTAGTCTAAGAAAAAGTCGGAATCCTAGGGTCGACATGGTTTTTTAAACTTTTTTTGTGTTCCTTTGGGGTGGTGGGGAGAGAAATCAGGGACCCCTGGAAAGTTCAATACAATCTCCCCAAGAAAAATACTCTTACCATAAAATATTGTGCATTCGATTGACGCCGTCTCATAGGCCTGCCCAGGTTACAAATCCCTGTTCTAACCTACTCAAAATGTACCTGCCTATGGCCATAGCACAGGAAGCTCATTCTCTTCAGGCTTCTTTAGTCTCAGAGCTTCTGGGATGTGCCTTGGGGAAATCCCATTGTGGATGTGCCTGTGGTCCTGGCCTGCGCGGCTGACCATCACCCTTCCTGGACACCAAAGCCAGGTTCCCTCCTGGGATGCTGACGTCCTCATCTGCGCCCTGGTCACCGGGGAGAGTGGAAGGTGGGTAAGTGGAGGAAGAACACCTCCACGGCCTGTTCCCGGTACTTTCGCTCAGCCCCCGCCCAGCCCGCCTACCTCCCGGAACCCCTTGTCAGAATTAAATTTATACGAGTCTTTGGAACAATATAGATCAGAATGAGAGCAAGACAAGAGAACTTTAAAAAATCTCCTTCAGGCTTCGAGCAAATGCTACCTCCTCCAAACATATGGGGGGGTGGGGTGGAGATATCTTCCTAGATTCCTGGATTAGGGACGGAAGTGAAGAGCAAAATTCAGTCACTATTTCCGAAGCACTTATCATACTGTAATGTATTCTCAGGGCCCCAGAGGTCCCTTGGGCACGACAGAGATCCCTTTGTAATTCAGCTGGCGTCCCCAGGAGCAGTTCTCTTGCTTGGAAAGGGAGAACCTAATACGTGCGCCTGAATACAGGTTTGGGGTGTGGGGGAGGCTGCGGGAACCTGGCTCTCCGCGCCCGGCCTGGCCAGGGCAGGCAGCTCTGGTGCTCCCGCAGAGCTCTGAACGCATGCAGGGAAGCGTCAGTTTGAGTGCCAGCCTGCTCCGGGTCTGCAGCGGCGGGTCGGCTCAGG